CACTATCTCCAGTGTTCACCCTCACCCTCACTCCCTCCACCTCCAGTATTTAACCTCACCCTCACTCCCTCCACCTCCACTATTTATCCTTACCCTCACTCCCTCCACCTCCAGTTTTTAACTCCACTCTCATTGTAGTTTTTAAACCTATTTTCGCTCTCATAAATGTTTCACATTTTTTAATTTTCCTGAGTGTGTCCAGTGCATTTCCCAGCCATTGTGTGCGGACGACAATTGTTACACAGCTCTGCTACCCCAGCATTGAGTGGAAATACCATCTGGACAGCCTGACAGTAGTAGTTACCCCACTGGAGCATTAGCCACTTGTGGACTCACTCAGGAGGGGGCCACAGCCAAACTGACTGCTGGGCGTTGACCTCTTCATATTGGCTCTATTTTAAACTGATGCGTATAATTACAAAAACCACAGGTATTTCCTCTCCCCTCCCATTTTCTACATAAATAAGTAAGGACAGCCTTGGAAAAGACTCGCAGCTGTATGTTATTGTGAACGAAATTAAAATCCAGACCTTGGAAGTTTGGTTAAAGAGAGTGAACTTTTACCTGTACAAGAACTGCAAGACCTCACTGACACAGCAATCTCTTCCTCACTGTGTAAGGGTCCCTGTTGCTTAGAAAAACAATCAAGAGACTCTTGCATCATTGCTGAGCAGGTCTGGCAGCATCTGTGAAGGAAAAAACAGAGTTAACGTTTCAGCTGCAGTGACCCTTCCTCAGAACTAATTCTAGCCACTCCATATCCTTAAACCAGTTCTGAGGAAGGGTCATCGGACCCGAAACGTTAACTCTGTTTTTTCCTTCACAGATACTGCCAGACCTGCTGAGCTTTTCCAGCAATTTTGTTTTTGTTCCTGATTTACAGCATCTGCAGTTCCTTCATTTTTTATTGGACTCTTGCATCATAGCTGGTTGTTAGAACAAATGTAGAAAGTTATCAGGAAACAACTTGCTGAACAGCTGTCATGGCACAGCAAGAGTCCGGTGTAAAGCATGAGGTTCTATTTCTCCAAATATGACAAATGGTTGCAATTATTCAAGAGTTTTAGCATCCAGGTGCCAGTCACAGCTCATCAGGTAACACTTCTGTCTGAGTTCGAAAGCCATGGGCACAAGCCCCAGTCCCGAAATACAAATAATCCAGAACAGCATTTCCAATGCACTTCTCACGAAGAAAGGATATTCCCAGTGACCAGGCAGTACTGAGCCACGGGTCACATTTTAAGGATATGGTGTGGGCCACTTAGGACTGAAATGAGGAGAAGTTTCTTCCCTCAGAGACTGGTGAGCCTGTGGAATTCTCTGTCACAGGAAGCAATTGAGGGAAAAGCATTTAATCTTTTCAAAAGGAATTAGATGTAATTCATAGAACTAAAGAAGACTGAGTTGGGTGATAAGCCATGATCATATTGAATGGTGGAGTAGGCTAGAAGGACCAATTGGCCAACTCCTGTTAGTAACTCTTGTTGGAACTGTAGGAGCGTCAGTACTGAGGGAACGGGCACTGTTGGAGGGTCAGCGCTGAGGGAGCGGGCACTGTTGGAGGGTCAGTGCTGAGGGAGCGGGTGCTGTCAGAGGGTCAGCGCTGAGGGAGTGGGTACTGTCGGAGGGTCAGTGCTGCGGGCGTGGGCACTATCGGAGGGTCAGTGCTGATGGAGAGGGCGCTGTCAGAGGGTCAATGCTGAGGGAACAGGCGCTGTCGGAGGGTCAGTGCTGAGGGAGTGCTGCACTGTTGGAGGGTCAGTGCTGAGGGAGCAGGCGCTGTCGGAGGGTCAGTGCTGAGGGAGTGCCGCACTGTCGTAGGGTCAGTGCTGAGGGAGCGCCGCACAGTCGTAGGGTCAGTGCTGAGGGAGCGTTGCACAGTCAGAGGGTCAGTGTGGAGGGAGTGCTGCGCTGTGCTTGAGGGAGTGCAGAATGAGGGAGGAGTGATGAGCATGTTGCTAGATGGCTATGTTGTACCCTCTAATTTTGTTTGTTGTGGTGCAGCCAATATGAACCAGGTTTAGTGGACTTTGTTCTCCTGGCTGTGTAGTTGTGGTACCTTAAAGTGGCTGGTTAATGTCCAGCCAGCACGTTTGGGCTTCTGCACTGGCAATGTAGCAGGGACTATCGATGCCTGGTGTGTGTACACCTAATGGGGTAAAATTGGAGAAAACCAGAGGAAATCCTAGAATACTAGGAAACCAATGTGCTGGTCGTACTGCTGCTGTGTACATTGGAAATCTACTTTCTGGCTCCAATTTGCTATTTCTCATCACTAACGCTTCAGTCCTTTCCCTCATTAGGACAAACATACAGCTTCAGGTTTTCTGGTGTTTACCACAGGCCGAGGGAAACATTTGGTCACGGTTGAGCGACGTCTTTCTGAAGTTGTGATTGCTGTTACTTTGCTTCCTGCCCTTAGATTGGAGTGCTGCAGTATGCAGAGACAGTGGTGCACGAGTTCAGTCTCGGTGAACACAAGACAGCGCGAGAGGTGGTGGAGGCTGCCAGAAACATCAGTCGCCAGGGTGGCCGGGAGACTAAGACAGCAATGGCGGTCAAAGCGGCATGGTGAATAGCAGCTTTATGCATCGTCCTGTTGGAGCTGCCCATGTGGTTTGGAATCCAGCCGGAGCAGTATCTGTTTACACAGTCCTGAGACTGTAACCAAAATAGGTTCCGTATTTCGGAGAGCAGGCACCCTGAAGAGTTCCATACGCCGAGAGAGTACACCTATAATCAATTCTATGCGTTTGAGAGTGTGCCCATTACAGGTTCCATACGTCCAGAGGGTGCACCCACAATAGATTTTGTCCATTGAAGGAGGTTGTGCGAAAGGGGAAGTGATTGTTGGGGGGCGCGTGGAGACAGGGAGGACGTTGTGAGGAGCGGGTGGCGTTGGAGGTTGGGGTTAGGGGTTTGAGATAGTCATTAAGGTGTGGGATTGTGATGGTCAGGGGGAGGTCTGGGATGGGGATGGTCAGTCGGGGGAGGGTCTCAGATGGTTGCGGTCAGGGTGAGGTTCTGGGATAGTGACAGTCAGGGGGAGGGTCTGGGATGG